ACTCGATCAATCGTCCACTTTAAGCAACCCCTCTCTCTCTCTCTCTCTCTCTCTCTCTCTCTCTCTCTCTCTCTTCGGACAACCAGTACGACCTTGCCTCTATCGTCGTCGAGCACAAGCTCGAACAACTACTCGACAGCACCTGTACTCGTATCAACGCTACCCAGACGTAACTCATGAAGGGTATTATTACATATCTCGTGTCATACGACACGAGATATCAATCAATGGATGATCATTGATTGATGAAATCATTCATTGATTTATTTTCTTTTTCTTACCAATAGAAAACATATTTAATAATAATGATGATACAGAAGATAATATTGTTATTATCGATTTTGTTATCGATGATTATTCGTGAAAAATGATTTTATATTCCCTATAGTTGTTTGGTCAATGAAATGATTAAGAGAGATAAAGAGAGAGAGAAAAAACTATTTCCGTAGGCGAGAACCCGAAGCCGCTAATATAGGAAGAATTAGACAGACGGTGGTTGCTCCTTGAGACACGGCCCATTGCACCGGTCCCCTTAAAATGCTTTCGTTGCTGCGTTCCTAACCAACGACAATGGGGTTACGTAGGGTTATAACGTGGCTTCTGCGGGTTATGTTCGTTCGGGTGAGAGCTAACATATTTAGACATAGTATGTCAGTGTATAACATATGGATTCGGCCACAATTGAACTTCAAAGTTTCAACAAAGTTTTTATAATTTAACGATCTTTTATTACTTTGATCACATTGTACTCGATCGATGTATAATACAAACATATAGGATAAAAAGTATATAATAAAGATTTTGGTAATAAAAAAAAAAAGAAATATAATAAAATAAGAACGTAAACAATTAGAGTTAGGCAGAAAAATCTATAGATGACGGTCGGTAATTGAAGGAGAAGAAGATAAGAGTTTAGAAGATGAAAAGTTTAGATACGCTCGAGTAGGTTCGTACTAGGGCTTGCTGCTTCTCGTATTTACCTTTCGGCGTACGCACGAATCGAGATCGCAAAAAGGGCACCGTAGAAGCAACGGGGGGTCCGACACACACCGAGTTTACTTAACACAGACAACGACGGCCCGGGATATGATGTGATGGCTTAGCTTTAACTTCCGATTAACTTACAGTTTGACTCTAGCACAGGTAGGTAAATGAAACGCCTTTTAAAGGCACCTCTACGTTGATTTGCGGTGACCATCGTGAAAGAAAAAAAGATCAGTCAGTTAGAGAAAGAAAGAGACAAAGGGAAAGATGGTGCTTTTCTTCTTGCCACCGAAACGGACCTGCCCGACGGGCTACGAACTAATTGCCGGAAAACGAGAGTTTAACCGCTCAGTCATCTCAAGTTTCTTCTTCCTACCTTTTTTTTTTCTTTCTTTCTCTCCTTGCCTTCAAAAATTGACTTCAATAGAGAATCTCTTTCTCTCGTACAATGAGATGCGTTATTTTCTCCCTCTTAAGAGAAAAAAAAAAAGAAAAAGAAAACAAACAAAAAAAATACCACCTATCTGAACAATAATTTTGGAAATATTTTTCTACTACGTATTATACCACATTCTTCGTATTCGTTGTTCTTCCTTACGATTCCATGGTCGTCGTGCACGGTACGAGTATATATACATACATACATATATATATATATATATACTCGAATGTAAGTGGGCCACGCGTGTTTATCGACCTCTTCAAGTCGGCACGGCGTTCCTCCTACTGGCGTCGTTTCCTCCTGCCAACAGTGGCTGCTTCTGCTGCTTCTGCTGCTAGTTGTAATGGTGATGATGATGGTGGTGGTGGTGGTGGTGGTGGGTGCTGCTGCTGGTGCTGCCTTTTGCCTTCTCTGCTCTTGGCCAAATCTCGACGACCTTCGACGAGTGGATTATCGGTGGAAAAGGAATTAACGAACGGGAGCACCGAGAGGTACTTCCATCGTCTAGCACCTCTTTGTGGCTTTTAGATAAGGTCTCCTCTCCTCCTCCCCCCAGCCCACCCCTCCTCTCACTACCTTTCTATCCCTTTTCTCACTTCTACGTAAGTTTCCTCCTGCCATCGTTGTCGTCTTCGTCATCGTTTGCCACTGCTGCTGCTGCTGCTGCCAGAGATTGTAAAAACGTACGTGAAACTACCTTGACGCCTTGATATAACGAGAGGCTTCCAGGCAAAGGGTCACACGAGTGCTGTGTTCCTGCCTCCTTAAAAAGTATTTTCTTTCTTTTCTTCGCGATAGAGAGAGAGAGAGAAAGAGAGAGAGAGAGAGAGAAACGTCTTCTTCTTTTTCTTTTTTCTCTCAAAAAAATAAGAAATAAAAATAAATTCTTTTGCTACGAATATTGCAAGGAAATATAATACCGATAATGAGATCGTATTTAAAAATTGCAAAATATATATTATATATATATATATATATGTGTGTGTGTGTGTGTGTGTATATTTTGAAATTGAAATGGAAATCATTTGGAGGTCCTTTTAGATTCGACGAGGTAGATCGTTTCTCTTCGGAAACTGGACTCGATCGTCCCTACTTTCTTTTCTTTCCTTTTCTTTTCTTTTCTCTTTCTTTTCTCTTTTTCCCTTATTCTTTTTCTTTCTCTTCCTCGTTCATCTCTTCCCCCTATAGCCTACGTACACATCAGTTATATCCCTATCTCGTTCAACTTTCTCTGTTTACACACCGCATCGTTGCGGGAGCGATGAACGGCCAGACGGGAATGGTTGCTTGGGTGGACGAACGAAAGAACGAACGAACGAACGAACGAATGTACGGACAAACGGACTGACTGACTGACTGACGGGCCCTTTCCCTTGAAATAACAATTCTCCCCGTTCATCTTTCTCGAATCTTTCTCGTTCTCACGTGGATACCACCGTGCATGCAGACTTTCTCTCCTCCTCCTCCTCCTCCTCCTCCTCCTCCTCCTACCGTGTCTCGTCGTCGCGCAAACCCAGGTATTTTAACGGAACTATAATATACCTTCGTTTCCTCGTCTCATTCCCCCCTTTCTCTATTTCATCTTTTCAAACGAAATATAAAATTTGTTGGAAAATATCCTTGATATATTATTTTATATCTGTAGAAATAAATTTGTCATTTATTTCGTTACGTGACAAATAAAGTTTATTTGAAAAAGAAAAAAATAAGAAGAAGAAGAAAAAAAACATCTCTTACGACACACGATTTAAAACACGTCAATATTCGACATTTGTTATCTACTACGTTTCGACATGATCAAGGTTCTTTTTTTCACGATTTTTAATGACGTAGCACTACGTTCGTTCGTTCGTTCATATGTTCATATGTCGGGATCGGGAAAATGTCCTCTTACTTGAGATTAATTGTAAGAAAAAATATTACAAAAAAGTATACATATATATAAAAGATTCTTCGATGTTTCTACGTAAAATAATGCATGCTGCAACGCATATACGAGGAGGAAATAAGCGCGTAATAATGCGTTACGTTATTCAAATTACGATGTGATGTTGTATCCATTAGCGATTAGAGAATAAGAGATAGAAAGACATATTTGCGTGTGTGTGTGTGTTTTTTTTTTGTTTCTCTCCTGCAACATGAATCATTAGAATTCTGTATCGTATCGTGTTTAACCATTTCTTTCCTTCTCTCTTTCTCTCTCTCTCTCTCTCTTTCTCATTCACTTTTCCTTTTTGATCAGCGATTATCCCCGTTTATCGCCTTTTTTTTTTCATAATGTCGTGCATTGTTTCCCCATTCGAAAAGGCGTGAAAGAGATGCGAAAGAGAAGCGGATTATGCTCGTAGAAACTCAAGAGAGAGGAGGAGAGTCCATTGTTTCGAAAAACGCGATCAGGACGTCCTTGCAGACGTAGAGCTCGTAATGCGCCGCATTGAGCATTAGAACGAATTATAAGGCGATCATGTCATAAGCAGATGCCCGGATCCGATCTCACTTTAGATGCGTGCAAAAACTACACTCTCCTTTTCGGGTACTACTAGTTTTACAAGGTTCTCTTTTTTCTTTTTTCTATTTTCTATTTCCTTATTTTCGCATAATCTCGTTTACTATTGTCATTCATATATTTTTTTTATATATATTCGTTATTCGTTGATAATAATCTTTTAGTTTAACGCAAAAATTATATTATGACTAACTTTTTGTTTGGTTTGATTATTTATTGTAATACCAACTTGATCTTTCAGTAATTTTTTTGATTTTTTTTTTTTACCCTAATCGTATCCAATTGATTTGAAAGTAATTCTTTTGTTTTCAATATATAATATAAAGTGTTTTTACTTTTTTTTTGGTTTTAATTTTATATGTGACAGAAAAGAAACTGATCGCGACTGCAGGTATTTTTTATTCTTAGATATCGTTTTGTATTTTTTTATTTTTATAGAATATTTATCACGCGCAAAATGATCTACCGTAAAAATATATTGTTTTTGTTGTCACTTTTCTTTTCTTTTCTTTTCTTTTCTTTTTCTCTTAAGACGATATTATTCCTGGATCATTTGCTAAAAAACGATGAACTATATACTATATTTCTTATTTGTATGAAGGGACACAAATAAAGAAAATAGACAGGGAGTTTCCTTTGCTAACGATATTCGAATGTTAAATCTCTTTCGTAGAAATAACAGACTTACGAGATGGATTATGGGACTTGGGGGATCAAGGACGGTTACGGTGTACGCTTTAAAGTATTTTCTACAAAGGGTGCTCCCTCTTACGAAAGCATCGTGCTCCTTACCTGACGACAGTTCACGCCAACGAAACGTGCTCCTCTTGTTTAATCTAGAAAAAGAAGAAAAAAAAAGCTAAAAAAAAAAAAAGATGAAGAAACTGGAAGATCGTATCTACTTATGTACTCGCGTTATAAACTTCACATAAGATTATATTATAATATAAAAAAAATCAAAATATAATATAATACGAGACAAATATTTGTGTTTATTTTATATATAATATTATTGATCTTACGAAATAATATATTCAAAAAGAAAATATGTTTACTTGTTGTTTTCAGGTCAAAATCTGGTTTCAAAATCATCGGTACAAATGTAAGAGACAAGCCAAAGAAAAGGCGATGGCCGAACAGAACCAGAATCAGGTGAGTTCATTAATATATCTTTTTTGTTAACATTTTACTTTTTATACCTTATAGGTTTAGGTAGACGAAAATGGATCGACATAAAATAAAAAGGAAAAGAATTTGATAGCCGTTCGTTTCATTTGGAATCAATCTGTTAATTTCGACGATATATATGTATGTTTTACCTATTTCTCGATGGGGATCGCTTTTTGAAAAAAATAAAAAAAAAAAAAACAATTTTACATGTAACGCGACAGAGACGCGCATCGGGCGAAAATATCGAGCACTTTAGGATGAAACAGCTTTAAATGAAAAATACTTGGCGCCATATAAATCCGGGTATTCGCATTATATTTCCATTTCAAGAGAGGACCACTCGGCGAACTCGAAGCGCTTCCGCATTCATTTCGTTATGCCATTCAAAATTTACGAGCGATGACGTTGCACTTCGCCCTGCAAAAAACACATGCAACAGAGAGAGAGAGAGAGGTGGGGTAGGATAGGGAAGGGGAGTTGAGAGAGAAAGAGAGTAGGAAATAATTTTTATCAATTTGCTTTTTTTTTCTTTTTCTTTTTCCTAAATATAGTAAACGTAGATAAGAGTACCAAAAAGTCCCTATTATTATTTCGTCCAATCGTTTAATTTTGCGTGTAATCGAAGCGATTGAAAAGATGCGATATCCTACAAAGAAGATATACGTATCTCGATTGCGAGTTTGAAACGTGCCCTGTCTCGATCTCTCATACGCATCGACGAATAAGAATCGGTTGTCCCCCCTTACCTCCGAAAGAATAACATTCAAAAGAAACGAAAAAGGGCCTTGCTTGCGATCGTCCCGATATACGAGAAGATTCCTCTTTGAATATATTATTTCTTCACGTATGCGGGATCACGAAAATCTCATCTCGCAGTGAACGCGTTAAAATCAAATCTGTTCTTTCGCCATCTGAAATGTTACTATATATTCTAGCACGAGCTTAGGCTAGTAGGTATACGTACACGTGTATAATATATATGTGTGTGTGCAAGGTAGATAGATATTAATAGGAGATAAATTTATATTCACGTGGACGGGAACTCGTGCGATTTCACTTCGAAATGATTATTGTTAAATAACATTTCTTTTTTTGTTTGATTTTTTTATTTTTTTTTAAATGTACGTATGATTTGCAACATTTCTTGAACCATCTGTGTGTGTCCATCGAAATGTCAGTAGTTACGTTTGCCGGTTAAAACGTAATTGACGACAAGCGATTACGTTGTTCGCACGTGTCACGCTTTAAACGGCAAGCTCGTAGAAAATAAAATGTAACGCTTACGAATACGTATCTACGAATATTTTATGTGTTTCTTTTTTGTCTTTTGTTTTTATCAAAAAATATGCTTAGGATAGAGTGACATGTAGGATAGGTAAATTCGTATGACTGCGTAGTTATACGTATACGTGTATATAACTATTTATATTCTATATCTATGAGATAGTAGAAGCTCAAAAACGATTTTCATCGAAATTCGATGGCGATTGTGAAAGTCAAGAATAGTATAGGGGCCCAATAAAAAATCCTCTTTTCTATCAGCCGCGTATCGTTTCGATATGAAGTGACGCTTATCCTAGCAGATTTTACAAAAATAACGCGTTATTACCCGCGTGAACGATAACGAAGTGATTAAAAATAAAAAAAATAAAAAAAGGGGGAGAAAAAAATGGTTGAAAAGAAATATTTTCAAAGTATACGAATCATCGTATTTACCATACAAATATCTATCATATATCTTCGATTAATATTAAATATAAGATAATAGTAATTTTTTCAATTGAAAATCTACTTTCTGCTTCGCATCATCGTTATAATTTATCCAGATATCTAATTCAATCTATAAAAAAGAAAAAAAAAACCTTGCTTACAATAAAAAATACTACTTTTCAAACACAATAGGATGTAGAAAAAAACTCGAACAATTTGTTAGTTTTCTTTTTTATAATTTTTTTTTTTTTTTTTCTTAAAAAAAGATCGAAAGATCTTTGATAAACGTTTACGTAAAACCTTGGAATGTACGAAAGAGAATCTTTCCTTTCGAATTTTTAACAATAGATATATTCGAGATTGTCACCAGCTAGCAGTAAACATCTATAGAGTATTAATGGTGCTGAAAGTTATCTACTGACCCAATCTGTCTATCGTTTCTTTCTCCCCTAAGTTGGTGCACGCAAGGCCGAGCAACCACCCCATAATTTACTCGTTAGTTTTTCGTACCCCGTGGGTTCTAAACGTTTGGTGCCAGTCACCCCTCTCTTCTTTCCTTTGCTTTCTCTCTCTCTCTCTCTCTCTCTCTCCTCTCTCTCTCTCTCTCTTGTCGGACTCGATTTCAATTCACGGTTTGTTTACTCTTGCTTTTCTCCTACCCAACGACTCCTGCTTGTATCTCGATCTAGCTCGATGATACGTGTAATTGCAGAACCGCCTCCGCGGCTACATTGAACGCGTCCATACGAACAAATAGTCTAAACGTATACGCGCGTTATATGCATAGAAAGGTATACACACACACATACACATTGATTCTATAGGAAAGAGAAAAAGAAAGAAAAAAAGCACTATTATCGGGCGTGGCCGTTATAGCTACAATCTAATCGGTTGTAATACAATGAAGACAATTCTACCCGACGCGAATTCCAAACAGCCAAAGAATAGATACCCTTTACGAGGGATAATTTTCTGTACAACGCTAGTTTATTACAAATCTACTTTTCAATGTAACTCTCTCGTAAAGAGATAATAATAATATTAAAAGAAATAGTAACGATGCAACCGAGTAAATTATCAACAATGTTTAACGTTAACGTTTCGCGAACAGAACAGCAAATTGAAATCTATTTTTGTCGTTTATCATGAGATATATCGATTAATTATATTATAGATAGATATTTATTCAATAGATGCATACTTTATTATTATAATTTTTCATTAATATAGAGTATATTTATTTATTAATTATGATTGATATGACTTTAAAATGTTGAACGCGTATATCATACGTTTGTTCGTCTATTCGTTTTTGGATAAGATTATTTCGATGAAAAATGTATAATAAAATTTAGAAATAATTTGAAATAAGAGTTAGGGTTAAAATTTATTATAGAAATAGTTTATAAACGATTTGTCGGGAGTTCTAATGTAGAAATATGGGGAAAAGTATTCGCAGGTTGGTTTATTCGATTAAAAATGTATAATAAAAATTAGTAACAATTTAAAATAAGAGTTGGGGTTAAAATTTATTATAGAAATAGTTTATAAACAATTTGTCGGGAGTTCTAATGTAGAAATAAGAGGAAAAACATTTGCAGGTTGATTTATTCGATGAAAAATGTATAATAAAATTTAGAAATAATTTAAAATACGAGTTAGGGTTAAAATTTATTATAGAAATAGATTATAAACGATTTGTTAAGAGTTCTAATGTAGAAATATGGGGAAAAGCATTTGCGGGTTGGTTTCTCTGCTGAAACGTGAACGCGCGCGGAAAAAGAAAGATAGAAGGCCACTGTAACGGGCGACGACGGTAGCTTACGATAGCGATGGCGGCGGTATACTACTGCCGTTGGTCGGGCTCAGATTTTTCTCTCTCTCTCTCTCTTCCTTTTTTTTTTCTTTTTTTTTCTTTTTTTTTCTTTTTTCGTTTTATTCCATTTTCTCCCCTCGTAGCGGTAAAAAATTTCAAGTGCTTGTGCGAGCGAGCGAGCGAACGAACGAACGAACGAACTATCGAGCGAGCGAACGAGCGAGCGCGAAAAAGAAAGAGAAAGAGAATGAGAAAAAGAGAAAAATAGAAGGATGAAGAGAGAGAGAGCGAGAGCGCGAGCGCGAGGGGACAAGGGGTGGGGGGTTTGAGAGATCCTGCAGGGGTGCGCGGAAACGGGCTCTCGAGTGCCGGTCGCCATCTTGCCGTTGGTACAGTCACGCGCAACACCTGGATGCGAATCGGGATTACCAATACGACCATTCACATCGATCGACACGACACGACACCCTTAAAAAAACTCGTAGCGCGAAAAATCGTCGATCTAGTTTTTTTCCCGCACACCCGCCGTCGCCCTCCGCTCAGCCCCCGCTTTTGTCTTTGTTCGTTTGTTTTTGTCTTTTTCTTTTTTAAATTCGCGAGATAGATTCTAGTAAAATCGTGAATATATAAGTGGAAATAAATTTAGTAAGAAAATAAATATAGGGGATTGAACGCGCGAGATTTGAAGAAAAATCGAGTTGTTTGATAAAATGTGTGACGATATTCGACGGGGGAAGAATTCGGTATATTTCTCTTAAATAATAGATAATGATGATAATGAAAGATTTCGTTGAGCTTGGGCACTTTTGTTGAAAGATCGGGGACCGTCTAATGTAATTACATGTGCGAGTAAAACAGCGGTTATTAGATTTAAAAACCACTTCCCCGTTTATAGAAGCCATTGAATTCCATTCGTCGCGGAAACGAGAGGTCCCGGCAGAAATCTTTTAATATCCCTCCGCCTTCTTTGTTCGGTCGAAGCTTCTGTAAAGAGCCGGAGATGGAGAGGGATGGTGAGGTAGTAGGGTAAGGTTGGGTGGAGGAGGTCTACCAACGCAACCGAGGAGGTAGCTTTTAGTTAATTACATCAATTTCCACGAGAAGTGTTTTTCCCTGCAACACATTTTCCTCGTCTGGAATCTCCGATAAATGGTTCGACTTGTGTCGGGGGAAAAAAAAAAGAAAAGAAAAAAAAAATGGAAAAGAAAAAAAAGTGTGCGTGTTCTTCGCGATAGCTACAGAATGGGAGAAAGAGAGAGAACTAGGTATATTGAAAGTTATCGATAGCTTATCCGTTCTCATTTTCCCTCCCGCGTAGAAAGTTGATCGCGTTTCCGCGATTACTTCCCGTCGATCGGTCGTCGTTCATCATCATCATCATCATCATCATCATCACAGCAGCAGCAGCATCAGCAGCTCCAGGCCTCATTATACCTTCTTTCTCTCTTTCTCTTTGACACTCTTTACCGTCTCTAGCGCTACTCGTCTCCTAAGCACAGCTATTTTCGCCGGAAATCGTTTAACACGCGTTGAAGTGGCTAAAGTGGCGTGACGCGTGACGCGCGCGCGGACCGTCATGCGTTTAACGTAATCGTCACTTTGTCAGTATGAAGTGCATGGGCATGCCTGCACTTAGGTTCGTAACGTTAAACGCGCGTCGTCCGAGCTAAGTTGGTAGCGGGGCTCTCGAGGTTCCTATCGACCTCGTAATTTTCTCTCTTCCTCTCCCCCTATCTATCTATCTTTCTCTCTCTCTCTCTCTCTCTCTTTACTTGTATCGCGACGCAAATTCCATGGTACGATACAAATGGAAGTTTTCGATCGGTTGTCGTTGAAGAGCGGAAGAGAGGAAAAAAGCAAAGCAAAGCAAAGCAAAGTAAAAAGAAAAAGAAAAACAAAAAAGCGGCGAGGTTTTAACTGGACTTTTTTTTTGGGAAGGATTATATTATTAAAAGAGGTCGCGTAGCGCGCGCTTCTAGTCGTCGGGGAGGATCGAAAAGGAATGTCGTGTAGCGAGTGTTGATACAGCTGAGTGGTCGTCTCGGCAGGTACTCGGTGGTTGTTGGCTCGGTTCGGCTTCTGTTTGGCATGCCAGCAGCGGTAAGCGTTAAACGCGTAGAGCCAGCAAGCAGGCGGTCGACGGTAGCAAGAATCAGCGGAGGTAGCGGCGGTAGGCAGAAGCAGCAGCAGCAACAGCAGCAGCAGAAGCAACGTAGTGTTTGTTCGCGCGAGGTGAGCTTTCAGTTCACTGAATTTCGAATTAGTCGGTTGGCTATCATCCGTAGTAGGACGGATGGCAGACGCGATGATACAAATGGAAGGGACGGCGATAGGATGTTGTTGGGAAGGTTGCCTTGTGTTGGGAAGGTTGCCTTGTTGGAGAGGACAAGAAGTGGTAAAAGACAATACGCGTGTGTTTCAGAGCGCGAGCTCGCCGCGGCGGGTAGCGGTGCCGGTACTGGTGAAGGACGGAAAGCCTTGCGGCAGCGGGGGCGGGGGCGGCAACGAGGGCAGCCGCGGAGGGCCTAGCGCCGCCCTAGCGAGCCCCGCACCCCACATGACGGCGGCCTCCAGTCCCCACGGCTCGCACCACGCCGCCTCCTCCTCGGTGTCGCATCACTCGGTGGTGGGGGTGAGTCACGTGATGACCTCCAGCCAGAGCCTCCAGCATTGCTCTTACACGCGGACGGGAGCCCAGCAGAGCATGCAACAGCAGCAGCAACCGCAGTGCGGCGCTTATCTGCCCTTGCAGAGCCGGGCTTGGTAGTGCGCGCCATCCGCGGCGGGGGCCGCGGCCTACGCCAATCCCTCCGTTACGGGCCCATGGACCCTCGCCGCGGATACTGCAGCTGCCTGGTACTCCATTCCTGACGACAGCAACTAAACTAACGGAACAACGGACCGCGAACTATCGATTTTATTATAATTATCGATCGATCGTCGATCTAATCGACGTCATTTTTTATCCGACAGTCTGCTATGACCTCTTCTTTACAGACTTATTATATATGATATATATGTATATATACATATGTATATATATATATATATAGATTTTCGCGGGCCGCTTGTTCTTCAACGGACTTTTGCAACGATCTTGCCTTGTCGATATTTTCGGGAATGATCTACGAACGGAGGATGTGTGCGCGAATTATTTCTTTTCGGACGTTCTAATCGCATATGTGTGATTTTAGTGAAAGAAAAAAAAAACGCCGAAGTCTTGAAAAAAACGCGCGAGTGAACGAACTTACAACAAACAAACAAAAAATACAAGAACAAAAATAGGATATGTAATAATCCTTTTACTTTACTTTTACGCCTAGACCTGCTAATGGTTTTACGTGCGTCATCGGCAAAAAATTCGATCGAATGGGACAAATCTCGTTAGAAGAGACACTTTATCGAATCGATCGTTCGTCGATTATGTGAGATAAACGGCGATTATTACGAGCCAAGTGTAAATTTCGCTTATTGTTAGATGCGAATGCGATTAACAACACCGGGCCATCGTTTTTACGCGAACGTCGCTAATATGACAACTTTGTTACTATAAAATCGACTTTTGTTAAATGGCCGATAGAAGAAGGACCTACTTAATTTTTAAGCGCCTATCATTTAGCCGTTAATAATTCATTAGTTTCTCGATACTTTCTTATTAAATCGAAGATGTTGGTAAACAAAGTGCTCGTCAGATGATTTTTAACGAAAGATCTAAAAACGATTTGTTTTTTTTTTTCTTTCTTTACTTTTTTTCTGAGAAAGAGGAAAGAACGAATAGAGAAAGAAAAAAAAAAGAAAAGTAAAAAATCCCGTTTCTTTTCGTAAAAGATTCGTTCGAAAATGTTTTTTGTATAAAGAAGGAAAAAAAGGAACCCATCCATCCCGTTGTATATCGTAATGTTCCAATTTACTTGTTTCAAAGGTTACGAACGAAGGTATCGATTTCAATTAGGCGAAACCGTACACCTAGTAGTATCGGCAGATTCGCTGACTCGATTTCACCGACACACGAAACGGGAGACGCACTCGTTCGACATTGTTGCATCGGCGAGTACAGTACTCTTTCTCTCCCCACGAGTCTGTTACCAACGCAACCCGTCTGCTTTGTGTTGCTAATCGAGTCGATCTAATTGAAATCCAAATTTGCTTTGATTGCCACTCAAACGTTAGCGCGGAGAGTTAACCGTTGGCGCTCGTCATCGAAACTATTCATCTAACATTTCACAAACTGTATAAAAAACAAAAAAAAAAAAAACAAAGAAAAAAACAAATTTATCGTCCTATTGTATAAATGATGTTTATTTTTATTTATAATTTCTCTTTTTAATTGCGTTGACATTTTTGCCATCATTTTCGTTATATAAATATATAAATATATATAGTTATTTTAACTTATTTCTCTCATACCACGGTAAATTAGAATTTTATTTCCAACGAAATTTACAACTAAAAAACATCGACACTTTTGGTCGACAAAAATTTCCGTCTCTGTACTAAATTCAAACAGTTAATAATAATAAGAAGAAAAAGGAGTAAGCGGAAGAAGCGAAAGGAGAAAAAAGAACAAGAAGAAAAATAGAAATGTTCTCGTCGAGGTGTAGTGTAGAAAAGGGTGGGTCGGGTTGGGAGGTGGGGGTGGGGGATGGTCGTGGCAAGCTTTTTGAAAAGCTACAAAGTCACGTAGATTCGCGTGCCCTTTGGCGCGAGAACTGTTTTTTTTTGAACGAAGCTTAGCGCAACCGATTTTCTGAATATGTCTATTCCACGAAAAGGATGTGATTTCTTTAGAATCGTTTTCTACTTCGCATTTCTCCATTTCACCCTTTCTATCTCTTTCTATCATTTTTATTTCTCCGTTGAAAACGTACGTACACGTACGTTCGCAAAGCTTAACTACCGTCGAAGAAAAATAAAGAATGAGAAAGAAATCGTATAGATGTTACTGACGTAGATACATATATCATTTTATCCGTTTCAACGGACTCGCGACGATAGGCTACGAGAAAGAAAGAAAAATTCCCCAAAAAAAAAAAAGAAAAAGAGAATGAGAGAGAAAGAAATGTTCGCGCTCTACTCTCACACTTACACACACACACCCACACGCGAATACTTTCCTTTTCTATGTCTCTTATTCTTTTCTTGCTAAAGCACGTATGTATCCGCGCGAAATTAAAAGAAGAAAAAACATATATATATATATATATATATATATATATATATATATATATATAAACGAAGACAAAATTCAATCCTTTTTCTTCTTTTTTCGTTACTGAAGCGCGAGAGACTAGAAAAAGAAATAAAGAAAGAAATAAATAAAGAAAGAAATAAATAAAGAAAGAAATAAAGAAAGAAAGAAAGAAAGAGAAAGAGTGAAAGTGAGTGGGTGAAAAAGTGGGTGGGAGGGTTAGAGAAGGAAAAAGAGAAAACGGAAAAGGGATGACGAGAACGTTTCACGTTCGTGCCGCTTACTGTGATAACGAGGTCACAGATGAGGACTTAAGGCGAATGTAAATATACGCTTAGGGAGCATAGGTACACGTGCGGTCGCGCGCACAAAGAATATACGAACCCTCATACGTACGTTATACACATACACTTATACATAAATACATACATACAGAGTCAGAGAGCAGTTATACATACAGTTGCACGATTGTATGCGTGCGAGTAAGCAAGCAAGCAAGAAAGCAAGAAAGCAAGCACCCGAGAGAGAAAGAGATATATATAAACACTCATACACTCATACGCACACACACACACACAAAAAGCAAAAACACACAGAAGTAACACATATATGCAAAATATGGGGAGACGATCTCTTTCGCGGTGCATCGCAGAGTTGATATTTTCTTTTCTTTTTTTTTCTTTCTCCAACCTTTTTTTCTCGTAAAGATTTAAAAAAAAAAAGATAAAAACAAACCGACTTTCACAGGAGCGCGTCGTTTGCACATAGCCTAACAACGAATTTCAGAGAGAAAAGAGAGGAAAAAAAAAGAGAGAAAATAAAAATGAGAAGTTTATTATTGTATTAATGAAAAATAATTACAAATAAAAAAAAATAAAATAAAATAAAATAAAATAAAATAAGAATAAAAAATAAAAAATAAAAATAAATAAAAACAATAAATAAAAAACGCTAGAGAAAAAACGAGCATTATCGACATTTAAGATAATTTGATTTAAATGAAGCAAAGAAACGAAACGAAACGAGAAACAAAACAAAATAAAATAAAATAAAATAAAATAAAATAAAATAATATAACAAAAAAAAAAACAAAAAAAGAGGTAAAAGGCACATCGATCGATGATAGCTAGTAGAACGTGTGACGGTGATGAAGATTTAGAGATTATTATAAAAAGTTTTGTAAATAAACAACAGAGATATTAATAAAACGATACTTATGCAAACATCGAAAATATTAGGTCTCTTATATTTGTCTTTACTTTTGTTACCTTAATCCCCTTACAGCATCATACCGAGGAAGAATAAGAAGAAAAAATAAGATTACATTATATTTAATATAAATATGTTGGTTAATCACACACACACACATACACACACATGTTGAAAAATAAAAAAGGAAATCCTAATAAAGTGTTCATTAAAATGTATCAGTACTTTTTCGAACAGAAAGTCATTCGAAAGAAGAGTAAAAGTGGTATCGAAGGAACACCATGGAAACGCCCTTTTGAGAGAAAATAAGAGAAAATGAGAGAGAGAGAGAGAGAGAGTGAGAGAGGAGAATAGAATGAGAGATCTCGTCAAGGACGAGGACGAGGACGAGAGCAAAACAGCAAAAGAGAGAGAAAGAAGAGAGAGAGATAGTATAGCAAAACCGAGAGAAAGCTTAATGCCGTGCACGCTGTTGGCCCCGTAACGCCGTAACCCCCTTGCTAAAAGAGAAAAGGGCGCTCTCTCGTAAAAAGTATATAGGTAGGTTGGTAGGTAGGTAGATACGCATAGCCACGCTACGATTATTAAGGTAAGCCGATCCCCCCTTCTTGATAGGCGGCGGCAAGAGGATGTTAAAGCTTCGAAAACGGACACAGGAGTAGGTAGAGATACAGGTTGTCGGGAATTATCGGAGTCAGTACTTTTGCTCGTGTGCTCGTTATTGGATATTTTCCAAGGGCTAAGGGGGTCTAGAACATTCTCTTAGAATCGTTAACCGATTTTATTAAGTACGACCGTGTCTAATTGCTCCGTCTCGGGGTTCGTAGATCACAGCTCACATATTCCCTTTCTCACTCACTCTCTCTTTCTTTTTTTATTTCATTCCGAAGTTGAATGAATCACTCGAAGTTTCGGTTGAGGACAAAGAATATACATATAACTATGAATACCTATCTATCAACCTATTCTATTCTATTTAAAAATAGAATTAACAATAAAAGAATATCAAAGTTTTCTTTTTACAATTAGAATAAGAAAAATGATAGAGATACGATCGAGGAAAGAAAGTAATGTGTGTTGAAAAAGGACAAAGAAACAAATAAAGAAGAAGAGAGAACGAGGCGAGTCGTGGCGAGCGAGTGAAAATACATTGGAGGGGAAGAGAATTGCATAGAAAGGGGATGGATAAAGCTCGTGCCACGTGCTGCTGTCACTGGCATAGATTATATTATATAGGAATGGCAGCGAATAGGTGTAGATATAAGCACCAAGCGGCAGTTAATAAATATGATAATGGCCGGTAGAGATAGAGAAAGGGAGAAAGAGTGAGAGAGTGAGTGAGTGAGAGAGAGAGAGAGAGAGAGAGTGAGAGAGTGAGAGAAGGTTATAGGGTGCAGGGTGCGATACGGGATATAGCAGTGTATAAGAGTGACCAGCGGAAGCGGTGGACTGTCATCGTCAGGACCTCTCGTATGTCACGCGTGCGACGCGCTTCTATGTGCGTTCCTATATGTGGCCACGTATTTATTAAATATACCCGAACATTGCGTGTATGTAAGTATATAATACGCGTAAAAGTGATGATGCCTTTCGATTATTCGATGTCCCTTTTTATAATTTCAATATTAATCAAATATTTTTCAAAAAATCTTTATAATATAGATTCATTTTTATTTATTTACTTAATATCGTACATTAAATATATATATATATATATATATATATATAT